ACATGAAAAATTTGCCAAATCTTGTTTTACCAAACAGCTTATTTTGCTGTTGCTATTGACACTTTTTAAGCTTCTGGTACCTCCCAGGTGCCAGTCTGAGGCCCGTTAAAATGTATTGCCAAGAACTATTGTTAAAACTAAGAAATAATCTACCAAACACAAATGTCCTTACTTTTTGTGTTAAGGAAAGATGTACATTCTGACTGCCTTGAACAGCTGCTCCTCAAATCTGTTTGGTCATACAACGGCTGGCTATAAGCAGAGTAGTAGAAGTAAAATGCCATATTCATTTGCATGTTCAAATGCTTTTCAGCATAAACGAACATGTCCACAAACGTCTGACCAACAACCATACAATGTTTTCATAAGGCCCGGGGTGGCGAAAAGTTTAGCCCAGGTTTTTTGCCAAGAAGGGGCTGGCAACACGAGGCGGAGAACAAAATGACGCAATTTTTATCACATCTACGTTAAGACAGATTTCACAGGTTTGGATGGACCATGCGGAGGCCTCAAGTCTGCTGAAGTTTTCATGACACATTAGTGTGGAGATCTGATGATGGCGACACAAAACATTCAATGTAAAACCAACAATATTTCTGTTAGTGCATTTTATCGTGATTGTGTAGCAGAAGCCAGACTCTTTAATTTACAACTTGACACTTTTTTTCCCCACACCCTGTGAAACCTACAATAGCTGATTCAAATTGTGTGGCAAATTATATATTCTACAGTTGCAACAGATTTATTTTATTTTTTAATTGCTGCTTTAATGTGTTTGCTCCTTTTCTGATTGTCTTGCAAACTTAATGATGGACCAAAGAATAATGGATCATAAAAATTTAGAAATGTATATATTACTGGAAAATGGGGCATCTGGAAGGGGTTTGAGTGGGGAGTGTAAGGTCTGAACAATGGGCCTCATGCAAGAACATGTCCGTATTCTTATCCTAAATTTCTCTTACTTTTGTTCGTACAAAGGGTTCGTACAAACATGCCACGTCAGATTCATCAAACTCTTCTATCTATCTTCTATCTTCAGGAAAAGTGTGTAAATGAGCTGCGTAAATTCCACCTGTTCGTATCCGGCTGCTTGTGCACGCGAGAGGAGATTAGCATAATTACCACCCCAAAAACACCATATAAGGCCATGTTTCCTACCTCAGATATCAGGAAGTGTCCATTCATGAAAATGACAGCGAAAACTAAAAAGAACTTATGAGTTCAGAGATTGAAGTCCTGCCGTCAGAGATCCAGAAAAGAAAATCTGTCATTTTTAGCAGGTCAGCCGTGGAATTAAAGGAGCTGCTAAARGTATAAACAACTGTGTTAAATCATTTTCATTTATTCAGAAGTCACCACCCCCACCCCCGGGCGCGGTCACGAGTGGTCTCAGTTGCGGTTCTGAAATAAGCATTTTAAAATGTTTTCAAAATATKTCTGGCACTTTGGAGAAAATCCAGGACTTGCTAGAAGGATTATGTATCCCCTCTGGCCTGGGAACGTCTCGGAGTCCCCCAGGACAAGCTGGAAAGTGTCGCTTGGGAGAGGGATGTCTGGGTCTCTCTGCTGCTGCCCCCGTGACCCGATCCCGGATAAGCCGGCCGGACGGACAATTTGTATTGTTAGTCTAAATTATTACATTTAAAATTAGAACTCTAATTCAAGCAGAATAGCCTATTGTCAACTAGGGCTGCCACGATTAATCGACTAATTGATTATTAAAATAATCGATGACCACTTTAATAATCTATTAATCGTTTTCTTTTTTTTTTCTTTACTTTTCTCTCCAAACTGCTTTGACACCTTCCACTGCCACATCTACCTTTCTGTCCTTGACACACTTGCACAGAAGTGGTAACTGGGGTAGGCCGAAGACATCACAAGACATCATACAGACAGGCTCTGGTATCATGGCTACTTGGCAACGGAGCTCAAAAGTGTGGGATCATTTTAAGAAAATGAAAGAGAAACCTGTGCAATATCTGCAGAGCAGAACTTGCCTTCCACGGCAATTATTTTTAGTTAGCATATAGCTAAAATCTAACGATGGTTATATAATAGCAGCTGCATTCTGGCGTGATAAGCTGTATGTTTTATATTCAATTAACGTATGATCCGATTAGTCAACTAATCGAAAAAATAATCGGTGATTAATTGATTATAAAAATAATAGTTTGTGGCAGCCCTATTGTCAACATAATTATGGAGTGAAATTTATTTTCAACTCAAAATATCTTCAAACTAACGAAATATAAAGTTATTARTGAAGAAAACCCGTCTGGATAACAGCAGACTGACTGCTSGTAAAATATACGACAGGTCTGGACCACTCGTGAATTTTGTTCGTATCTGAAAAAAATCGTAGAAACGAAAACATTGGTGAATGCCACAAATTCTCCTAAATCACTCATACGCACAACTTAAGAACAAATCTGTGCGTACGAGCGGTTCTTGCATGAGGCCCATTGTGTTGCGTAGTTCATTTTAAAATTTTGTGTATTTTATATGCAAATCAGATTTGAGGAAAAAAATAAACTATAATGACCTAAATGGATTTACATATTTCTTACTTTTTTTATATAGGCTTTTTCTCCTCTGACACAAAAGAATTGGACACATTTTTACAGTTCAATTTATTTTTATTTAACTTTTAATTTTAGGTTAAAATTTAATTCAGTTTCTCAAAAATACTGACTATTACATATTATGCTGCATACATGTGCAACAAAGTAAACTGCAGCTTTTGTAGAAACATGTTTAATACAACAAATAACATCTCAAATCTGAGACTAATTTAAAGAAACTAAAGTTGAAAGCCTTTTTCATAAGCAAATGGAATTTCTTTCAAGTGATAAAACCTCCTCTCAAAACAAATGTTCAGCCAGATCAAGACTTTGAATTACTTCATTATAAATGGTCTCTTTAAAACCCATTAGTCTCCTGCCTCTGACAAGCGCTGCCTGCTTGTGGGCCCCGTTTGAAGATGAGCATTTAGCTGAGCCAGACATTTCTGTAAGAGAATATTTTATCAAAACCCAGGCTAGCTTTCAAATAAAAAAATGAACACTTTTTAAACCACCAATGCCACTTTCATTGACTATTCTGTCGTCATTATAAAGTCCATGGAGAATGAATATTTGTGATAATTCAAGGGTAGTTTTTCATTCAGTATTCCTTTAGTCTGTTTTGTGGGGGGATTACTCGTTAAAAAATGCAAGTCATTGCTTCTACTTTTAGCTTAACTTTAAACTTTATGAGGCTCTGCTGATCCAGTTTCTCTCAGCATGCTTTAAGAATTTGGTCTGTTTTTTTCTTTCCCAAATACTCCGATGGATGAAAGTTGAAGTTATTAAAAAGATCAAATTCACCTCTTAAATGAGGCAACATAATTAAAGTATTCTGTTAGTTTTCTCATTAATTAGCTTTTTGTGCTGCTTAAAACTGACCAAAAAAAGACCAATTTTGTTTGGATGGAACTCCCGTTCTGTCTTGCGCTGAGCAGACCACCACCCTCTTCATGGCACAGACTCACATTTGGCATCTTTACACATTAATTCTCTGAGGCACAGGAAGACTTTGCACCACATTACATCACATGTGATCCTAGTTGTATAATTTTTTTTAAATGTTTTTTGATTAATCTTATTACGTACAGGAATATGCAAAATATGAGACTGCAATATCCCAGTTTCAGAATTTACTTCTTCCCCCTTGATATTTTATTGTGCCATTTCATTCTACAAGTTATGAAAACCTGCTAATTACGCCACAAACAATATGGTTCTATTTCAGTAAATCTAAAGGAAAAAACACATTGATCTTCTCAGTGTTGTGTGAAACCCATTTTATAGATTATTTTTCATTTTCCCATTTAATTCAGGGATAGTATATCAAATAGATGTGTAGCTTATTGAAACAGAAAGCTCTTCCCCTCATTACTATTCTGCTTGAGTCAGAGGCGTCACCACATGTGAAAAGGCAGCAGAATGGCATGTTCATCAAAATGCCTCTTGAATTTTTCTTTTTCCTTTTCTTTAACGCTACTTAGATTCCCTTTGAGCATCACTTTGAATCCATCCTTTTAATTTAGCAACTTTTATGTAAATACTCAGAATTTTAATACAAAGCTAATGGACAGAGTGTTATGAAAGTACCATAAGTGAAGCTGAGCTGTCCTTAGTCATGGAGCCAAAAGAAAAGGCCTTTCTCTGTGGCTTATCCACTCATTATCTTTGCAAATGTTATGAGATCTCTGTTGCATTTGTTTAATGAATGAATGAAAAGTAAAATTATTTACATGCAGTTTTTAAGTAAGGTGTTAGGTGCAACCAGAACACTTGTACAAGACTTTGGATTTTAATTTTAGATATGGAAAACATTTTACCAAATGTTGTTTCTTCATTGGTGTTTTTATGGTGGTGGAAAGTGAACTTTTGACTAGGCCACAGCAAGTTGGTCACATAATCGTCATTATTGTACCTTTTTAGAGTAGCGCTACAGTAGATCCTGAAACCAAATAGTCTATTGAATTGTCTTTTTTTGATCCAAGCTGTCTAAACTTTTTATAAATGCTGCCCAGTAAGAGTTTTAGATTACATACAATACTAGTTGCAGGTATTTTTGTTCTCCGTATAACATGAAATGATTGTTCAGTTTTGGAAAAATCTTTGCATGTTTATTTTTTTGTGTAATTTGGAGGCTTATGTTAATAATGGAGTTCTTACATGTACGACCATTGATCTTTGGATTTCTGTTGAGTGTCCAAAAGCATTTTGGGAAAGTAGGAATATTCTCTCTCCATTCCCCCACCTGGTTGGGTCCAGCAGGGCTTCAGCTTCTCAGTTTGTCTAACAACTAGGTTACTACCACCAAAACGTCCTTGGCGTCGTGTCACTTTGAGAACTTACCCRTCCAACTTTCTATAAGCTAAAATAAGCCAGGAACAAACACCTTTTCTGAAGTTTAAAACCTCCTGTCCCCCTTTTTCCCCTTCCTAACAGATCCCTCGTGGAGGACGACGACGCTCACATGAAAGTCGCGCTGGGCTATGGTGAAATGGGCATCTCTGCTCATCTTCAGGCATCAAAGACTGGAAACACTCGCTTTTTCACAAGCAATACGCACAGCTCTGTGGTTCTTCAGGTGAGGGTTCAAACCATCATTGTTTTTTTATGAAGCAGTGTTAACACTTTTATACCTTGTGAGTAGGTATATCAGAGCAAGACTCTTCTTTAAAAATACATTTGTTAATGCTTTTATTTAATTTAAAAGCTTTTGGAATTTCTTGTCTTTGTAAATTKATAGAAGTAAGCTTGTATATTATGATGTACAGCTGCTATAAGGTGTTAAATCTTTAACGGGAAACTGTAAGGATTGCCTCATCTTCCTTCTAAAAATGTCCTTTTACATTGCATAGCTTCATTTATTATTTTTTAATCTTTAGCCTTGATTGCTGCTTCTGCATGTCAGCTTTGATGTAGAGGATCACTCCAAAATGTGGCAGTAGGGGCTGGCATTCTGCTGTTTGCTGCAAAAGCATTTGTTGTCCTTGGTCACCAGCGTTCTGTGAAAATGAGAAGCCCTTGGCTGCCCTTTTTTTTTTTGTTCATTAATCTTGTGCTGTCACAGCACAGTGGGAGAATGATAATGATTTTTCTAACCCTCTCTTGTCTGACATCCTGATTGTGGAATGTGTTAGTTTATATGGTTAATTTTGAAGCGAAACCTGGCCACTGATTATGACAGTCTGAGTTGTTGTTACAGTATCAGCTAGTTTGCAGCCTATTTGTACAAGCTGCCAAGTTTCTTGTTGCATCAGACATGATGGGTAGAAAATCAGGTTTGCATAAGCGAGTGCAATATCCAATAATTTCCCTGAGGATGCTAAAAAACTATTTCAATAATTTAAATCTTAATGATTACATGGTCTTTGTAGTCTGCTATTGATTAAGGTGTCCCTCACTGGTAGGAAAAAAACAAAACGACTTATTTTTAGCTCCTAACGTTAAGATTGGAAACACTTGTCTCTTTCTCTGTTTTATAGTTTTCGCTTTTCTTCTCTTTTCGGTTTAGGGATTTGACCAGTTGCGAATAGAGGGTTTGTTGTGTGACGTGACACTGGTTGCAGGAGATGGAGACGAAGCTTTTCCCGTACACCGTGCAATGATGGCCTCCTCCTCCGACTACTTCAAAGCCATGTTCACAGGTGGGTTTACAAAGACCCTCTCTGACCAGAGCATCTGCTCATCAGTGGGGAAAGCCAAAGTACTTCCATTAAACTGATTCATTTACTGTATTTAAGCATGTTTTTCCACACAACCATGTTGCTATAATTTTTACATCCTGAGAAACTCCTCGGTTAGTATGCCCACATCCTGCCAKGTTGATCATTTGTCTCCATGCAGGCAGCAAATGCAGATGAGTTTTACCATATCATTTCTGGGCAAAACTTTCAGCATTATTTATTTATTTTGTTTACTTGGTAACAATCAATTGCATAAGTTTTCAAATAAGTAATGAAAAAAAAAGATTAGCCTATGGTGTTTCCTGTAGTTTCAAATTCTCAATTCAATTTCTGTTCTGTTGGGTGAATCGGGAAAACAAATTAGTGAAGGAATGCACTTTCTCTTTTTATTTTTAAACTGTTTATAAACACTTTTTCAGCCTAAGATATTTTTTCTCGTGTTTGAAGTAACAGGTCTGTGATTTAACATAACGTTTATTTTTTGTTTTATTTTCTGATGCAGGTGGAATGAAAGAGCAAGATCTAATGTGCATCAAGCTTCATGGAGTAAACCGAATAGGCCTGAAGAAGATCATAGACTTTATCTATACAGCAAAGTTGTCCCTCAATATGGAGAATCTGCAAGATACGCTCGAGGCAGCCAGTTTCTTACAAATCCTTCCTGTGCTGGACTTCTGCAAAGTATTTCTTATTTCTGGGGTAAGGTGCCAGACTTGTACGCTACAGTTGTACATGGATACTCAGTGCATGGTGTCTTACGTAGACAGCTGCTAGTTGCATTGTTATTTCTTCTATAAGGTTACTTTTTCTAGGTTCATACAATGGGGTTATTATGCAAAATCGACTTGAGTTTTATATCATGTTATATCATCATTCCCTTACCAAACACATAGCCAGAGTGTTGCTTTGACTCATTCATCCATGTTTAAGAAATCCTTGAATCTCCTGCAGCCATGTGGAGCTACCAAAATGCTCGCTGGTACAAAACCCCACCTATTTACACAAAGCTGCTCCCTGGAGCTCAGTCTGCAGCTGAGCTCCCGCCCTACAGAGCACCCCTCCACCGAAGCATTGTTGGGAAGATGTGCTGAAGTGGGAGTGTCTGAAACAGCAGGAGGTTCTTAAAGAGACAGAGGCCAGTTTCAAGGCATTTAGATTTGTTTTTTTTTATGTTTGATATGTACAGTTTTCACAACAACTAAAAGTTGTTGTGATTGTGGTATAAATTTGAACTGTATGCCCTTGTTTCTTTTCCCCTAAAAACTACCTTTCTATACAATTTAGTGTAAAGTATTTCTTTATTTTCACCCTGAGGTCTTCTTTATGATGTTTTTTTCCACTTTTCAGGTTTCTCTTGACAACTGCGTAGAGGTGGGGCGTATCGCCAACACCTACAACTTAACCGAGGTGGACAAATACGTCAACAACTTCATCCTAAAGAACTTCCCCTCTCTGCTGGGCACGGGGGAGTTTGTCAARCTCCCGTTCGAGCGGTTGGCTTTTGTGTTATCCAGTAACAGCTTGAAACATTGCACTGAGTTGGACCTGTTCAAGGCTGCGTGCCGCTGGCTACGCTTTGAAGACGGGCGTATGGACTATGCCTCAAAGCTCATGAAGAATATCCGTTTTCCCCTCATGAACCCGCAGGAGCTCATCAATCAYGTACAAACTGTGGACTTTATGCGCACAGATAACACTTGTGTCAACCTCCTCCTGGAAGCTAGCAACTACCAAATGATGCCCTATATGCAGCCGGTCATGCAGTCAGAACGGACAGCCATTCGCTCTGACAGTTCCCACCTGGTCACGTTGGGTGGTGTCCTACGCCAGCAGCTAGTTGTGAGTAAGGAGCTGCGTCTCTTTGACGAGAAGGCCCACGAGTGGAAGGCGCTGGCACCTATGGACGCGCCTCGCTACCAGCACGGCATCGCCGTCATCGGCAACTTTCTTTATGTTGTGGGTGGCCAAAGCAACTACGACACCAAAGGCAAAACGGCCGTGGACACAGTGTTTCGGTACGACCCTCGCTACAATAAGTGGATCCAGGTGGCGTGCCTTAATGAGAAACGGACCTTCTTCCAYCTCAGTGCTCTCAAGGGACACCTTTATGCTGTCGGTGGAAGGAATGCTGCTGGGGAGCTTGGTAAGTTTACTTCTTCTCTAAGCAGTTTTCCTCCTTTTGAAATATCAATGAAGCTGTGCWCATATTGACTGCACACTTCTGTTTTGACATCTCACATCCACAGTTTTGTAATTATTTAAAGGTCAAGATCCTCTGTCTGATAAAACCTCTTACATTTCCAAAGCGTTTTAACACATTCAAAATCAATTTCAGTTGTCATTATCTCAAAGGCGGCTGGTATTGAGTTTTAGGTCCATCCAAAACTGGGACAAGAGCAGTTGTTTGATTCTCCTCTAAATTAAAACATTTTATTACCCCACAGGTTCACAAGTCATCCCTTTTTWKWGWKMTYTWWRTRTRTRTATATWTKT